AACCACTTTACCGACTCCAATTACCGACTCCAAGAATTCTTCCATTCGCGCCATGTCAAGGATCCCACTAATAGTTTATGGTGCAACCCTCCTATTGACTTTTCGAGGTTTCATTAGCCAATCGACATATATTTTTCCACCACACCATTGCATCAACTGTCAACAATGCCGTGCGCAATTTCTGTTGGGGACCAGTACCATAATCGTCCTCTTCCATGGCATCTCAACGGGGTAAGCAATCATGCCATGAGGACACACATCTCTCAATTACAGGAGAGATCACATCATCTCCTTCGCCACAGGAGATACATTGGCAGCAATAATGTTAGAGCTTCTTAGGCCGAATCAGCTCCACCGTTTGGGCAATCCTTCCTCCACGTGTCCAGTTTTGACCACACCCAGCAGACACCTTCCTTTCTTTCTGGAGATTTTATTCTTTTCTGTGTACGACAAATAAAGCTGAATCTCTCATATCGAATTTATTTTTCATTTTCCATTCAGTCTTCTCTCCTCAGTAATGAGCTTATAACCACAATCCGCATACACCACTTCCTTATTACATTATTTCAGAACCCACCACCGCCCCACGGACCCACACCAAGGTTTCATGTCTTTCATATGCGAAGGAACAGTGACAGGGAATGAGTCGGAGAGCTTTATTTCTTATCTTTCAGTTTTGCACTCCAACAGTTTCTAATTCAGAGACAATGCCGTTAGAAACACTCAGGTGATCTGACAGCTTTGTACCTTTCCGCCATTTTTCAACGTCATTTGAAAATTGCGTCCTTCAAATTATAACCCTGTTGGATTTATTTTTCCCTGGTACAATTCTTCCGTTTCTCCCACAACTCTTTTATTGTTCGTGGACATCCGCCATTAGCCAAGAACATTTTTTGCTGTTTGCTAGACACATGCAAATTTGACTTGCCGCTTTGATATCCAGCTCCTCCCATTCTTCATCGCTAATCTTGGATTTTTCTGAGTCTCTACTGCCACTGTCTTTTCTTGAATTCTTTCCGCTGACTGGTTTACCCTGCAAAACCTTATGCAGTCCAGACTGAATCAATACGTCTTTGACTTGCACTTGCCACAGTGCAAAATTCATTCTCCTGTCAAGTTTCTCAATCTCACATCTCATAGCCGACTTCTCAATCTCACATCTCATAGCCGACATGCTTACTTGTGCTTATAACAGTGAACCCAATAATTAGTGAAGTAAACCGATTCAGCGATACTCAGGAAAGACCACAATGATCTCCTAGACAGTATTACCATTCCACGTAAAATCCCAGTTGGGAGGAGGGGTCACAAGTGGTCCCACTTAAAATCCGGCCTTCTAGACAGAAGTTACGTGCACGGTATATTATCTGAACTTTCGTACCAGAATAACTTCAATAATCTCAAGCACACCAAAGCAAAGCTCCACCCGTTCAAGACTTCTAAAACTCCACCTGCTTTTAAAATAAAATAATTTCTAACAACAATATTTCTGATGTGGAAGATCAGACTAAGCCGCAACCATTGTGCATACTTATAATTTAAATTACAAGAAATTATTTTAACACTAAAAGCTGCGCCTAACAACTAGGCTCTGATACTACTTATTGGGAAAATCGCTATTTTTTTTGCCCTTCGGATCGGCTGCAAGCAGGAACAAATGAGAAAATAAAATAATGACTGAGAAATTAAAGAGAATAAATAACACGATAATTTAATGTGGAAAACTCCCCAAGTGGAGAAAAAAAAACACGGGCCATTGCCACGACAACCAAACGAAAAATATTTCACTATTGTGGCAATTGTTACAACCACAATACAAATATTTTTCTTACCCACACCCTCAAAAAACCCCAAATATTTTTACTCCAAGGGACTCCAGAGGACTTGCTCTAAATCCTAATATTAACACTTCAAGTGTTTTGGTTGTGTTTTGGTGTGTTTAGAACCAAACATTGGCTTCCTTTTTATAGCCAAGTGTTTTTGGTGTGTTTTGGTGTGTTTAGAAACCTAAACATTGGCTTCCTTTTATAGCCAATTCAAACACCCTCAAAAGCTCATCTCCCCGATGTGCGATTGAGCTAAACCTTTTTTTTTTTATTTGTTTTTAACAAAGGCGGCTAACACAAAGAAGAATGAAACAATAAGGCTCTAGCAACATTAAGAATGTGCTGATGTTTACGTCAAACTACACCATTTTATTGTGGTGTATATGCACAACTAGATTTATGAATAATGTCGTTTGATGCATAAAAGGTAGGCATATGAAATTCAAGACCATTATCAATTCTAATAGTATTAAGAGAAGTTTGAAATTGAGTTTGAATTAAAAAACAAAATTGTTGAACTGTTTGACTAACATCATGTTTGTGCCTAAGTAAAAATACCAAAGTACATTTAGTAAAATCATCCATAATGGAAAGGAAATAATGAAAGCCATCTAAAGTAGCTTGAGAATAAGGATCACAAAGATCCATATGAACAAGTTCAAAATCATGAAAAAGACTAGTGATTATAAAACTGAAAACCCTACCACTTTTCTTAGATGAGGACAGGGAGGAATCATTAAAGTAAGGTATAGTAAAGTATAGTACGAGAAAGTTAGGTAAATGTCTTTTTGTGTTTGTAGAGAAGGCATGGTAAATGAAGGTTTAATAACATTGTCTTGTTTGGTTTGGTTTGATGGTATCATCCACAATGGAAAGGAAATAATGAAAGCCATCTAAAGTAGCTGAGAATAAGGATCCTAAAGATCCATATGAACAAGTTCAAAATCACGAAAAAGATTAGTGATTATAAAACTGAAAACCCTACCACTTTTCTTAGATGAAGACAGGGAGGAATCATTAAAGTAAGGTATAGTAAAGTATAGTACGAGAAAGTTTGGTAAATGACTTTTTGTGTTTGTATAGAAGGCATGGTAAATGAAGGTTTAATAACATTATTTTGTTTAGCTTGATGGTATAGGAAGATAATGTTAAATATAAAGATTATGAAAATACCTTTGTCATGGAAGATTTATAAATATAGTTATGGATAATTTTGAAAATTAAATTTTTTAACCATGCTTACACCCCAATTCGGCGGGTTGAAGATTGGGACCGTTTAAATAACTTTTGAAAAATCATTCTCTCCCTCAAACTCTCATCCCAAACGACTGAATAATAACATCCATTTACCTCAATTTACTCTCCAAACCCTCCAAATAACCTCCATCCACACAATCTATACAACTTTAGTAAAATCTCTCTACTGATCCGTTCTTCAACATCTCGCACTCTCCTCTTCTATCCATGCTCTCTACCATTTTCATCGCCACTGCAACTAATCTCTAACTACGTAAGTGCTTTACTTTCCTCTCACATGCACTCTCCACTCTCAATTCCAGTAAGTGCTTTTTTTGTCTCTCTCTTACTTAGTTACAGTCGACAAACCACTGATAATATCGGTTGGTTCCACTTGTGTGGTTGTTTAAGTACTGAGTGGTTGCTTAGAGGTAGAATTATTACTTTATTTTTCCTTTTGTTCTTTTGGATGTGAATTTTTTTTTTCACTTCTTCTTTTATTCTTTTTTTTTTTGTCTAAATGTGGAATAATTGATGATGTGTTTATTGTGTTTAGGTTTTTGGAGAATCCAGTTTGATTAATTTAATTATTGCAATTAATAATTGAAGGAGAGAAAGGCAAAATGGAAACAAAGAGAAAATCCCTACTTCAGCTTCAAGCGCTTGAGAAATTCTATGCTAGTACATACTCTATGTTTCTCTCTTTAATTAGTAATTTTTTTATATTTATTTTGGTGAATTGCATTTGAGTTGATTCATTGTAAGTCCATATGGTTATTGGTAGGCATTGAAGCAGGTCGGTAGCCACAAATTTTGAACTACCCATACCGTATCCGTTTGAAATTTTGTTACTCATATTCGTTCCAAACTTGTTTAAATATCCATTTAAGTACCCATATTTGAACCCACTTAAAATTTTACTAACTGTATCCATCTCAAACCCGTTTAAAGTACTCCTTAAATGGGTAGAGTATTTGCAAAATTTAAACTATCTAAACTCGAACTTATTTAAAATGCATTTTTCACTAATAAATGGTATGGGTATGCGGGTTCCTATGGTGAAAACCGTTTATTATAGCGGGTAATAGATAGAGGGTATCCAAAATCTAATGCTTGTACCCTATCTGTATCCATTGTGGGCAGTAATTTCACTATCCGTATCCGTCTCAAATCTATTTATAACTATCCGTACCCTCATTAAATGGATTGGAGCGAAGTAGGTATCCTAAAATACCCGTATAACTTCCATCCCTAGGTCTGATTTCTACTCTAATTGCAACTGCTTACTTTTTCTAAAAGCGATTTAATTTTCTCACTAGGGAGTTTTTCTATTTCTTATAGAGGTCAGGGGTGGAGGGAGGGGGGCCGGGGGAGCCCGGGCCCTCCAAACTCTAATTTTTTTTTAAATTTTCCCTATAATTTAGTATAAAAATTTTTTTTTCTTCATTTTGGTCCCCCTAATTTTTAAAAAATTTATTTTGGCCTCCCCAAATTTTAAAGTCTAAAGTTTAGCTCCGCCCCTGGTAGATGTCCAAGTTTAATTTCCTTGGTTTTGGCTTATGATTAGAGGAAAAAAGATATTAGTGAAGTACTAAGATTTTCATTTGAAATAAGAGGGCAGGAAGTATTAAAAATTTCCTTGGTTTTGGCTTATGATTAGAGGAAAAAAGATATTAGTGAAGTACTAAGATTTTCATTTGAAATAAGAGGGCAGGAAGTATTAAAACAAGATTATAATTATATATAGGCATGTTATTTATTTTCTATAGTGGTATTGTTGTGTCAAGCACAGCACAAGTATCCCACAAATAATGCAACAGAAGAGTAATAGCTTTTATTATAGCTTTTGCATTAAGTAGAATCGGTGGCCATGCCTAAGGATACTCATCATATATATAAAAAATATTATATCCTTAGGCCTTATTTGGTAGGGGATAAGTGAACTCGGGACTCTGAGTTCCCGCGAAGCGATCAATTTTATAGTGTTTGGTTCTAAAAAACTAAAGAAGTTCTCGGGAAGTTCAAGTGTTGAAGTTCCTGACTGTATAGGAACTTACTTCCTCTCATTGACTCAAGGAAGTGCACTTCTCGACCTCAACAAATTTGTAATCTCTATTTTGCCCTCTTTCCTATTTGACGCTCAACGTTGTTGTCTCCAACTCTACAAATCCTTGTCTTCAGGGAAAAAAACTCTTCAAATCCTCTCTTGAAGAAGCAAACCAAAGAAATTTCTACTGATCAAAGGAATCCAAACCTCAAGTAAGCATCTCTTCAATTTCTTTTTAGTTATTGATTCTTGATTTAGTTACAATGTTTTGTAGTTCGAGAGTTTTTCATTGCTATTAATATGCTCTTTTCTTATTTATATTCTATTTACTAAATCTGCTATTTACATGAAATTGAATTTTGTATTGTTAATCCCTTCATATGGGTTTGTGATTTTTACCATAAAATTTACATTCTCATGTCAGATCATGTGATAATTATGAAAAAGTTCAACTTTTGTTCCATTATCTGTGCCCAAGTTGCAGTTTTAATTAGCTCAACTCAGCTAGTTTTCACTATTCCTCTACAAATTCCTTTTAAAGTCGGAAGAAAATGTTTGTATTTGCAAAAATCTGTGTATCTATTTGATGTCCATAAAGAATTTATATATCCAATGCCTCATCTAGAGATAAAACCATGAGAAACAATTGAATAATTGGTCCCTTTTACCATTTTCATCAAAAATTTCAAGCATAAGAAACGAAAAAAAAAAAAAATTCACTTTTAAGGTGAATAAAGCTACTGCAAGTCTTTATGGCATGACAAATGGCATGCATGCCTTCAAGTTTTATGTTTAAGTAGTAGTCAAGTGTCCACTTTACAAGCAAAACATATAGATTAGTCTTTAAATTGTAATTATTAGTATTTATTCTATTTGAGTGATTGGCCTGTTCTTGATTTTGTTGTGCTTTGAATGCAATTTTAAAATGTTTCAAGTTTTATGTTTAAGTAGTAGTCAAGTGTCCACTTTACAAGCAAAACATATAGATTAGTCTTTAAATTGTAATTATTAGTATTTATTCTATTTGAGTGATTGGCCTGTTCTTGATTTTGTTGTGCTTTGAATGCAATTTTAAAATGTTTGTACGTATATAATGGATTATTATTTAAATTTTAGGCTATAAATAAAATGTTTTTAATTAATGTATTTTTTTTCAGTAATGGCAAAACTTCCATTGAGTAAAAAGAAGAAGATGATTGCCTCTTGTATAGTAATTTATGCTGAAATGTTGATAATGATTATGGAGACAATAGTCATGGTCATGGATGCAATTGAAACGTTAACAATTAGAGTCCTAGAAATATTTGTTATAAGTTCGGTGATTCTACTCAACAACGATTGGATGTTAGACTTTCAAATCTCAGGACACTAATTCATAATGATGATGAAGTTAAATCTTCAGGGACATCTAATTCATAAGATATGAAGTTTTGTATGGAAAAGTTAAGATTGAAATCAAGAAGGTGTTTTATTAAAATTGCGAGTAACGATATGCTTAAGAACCGTTGGGAAGCTACAAGGAAAAACATCGAACCCACTGATGAGTGGTGAAGATAACTAACAGGTAGGGCAATGGTTCCCTTCAATATATCAATTCACCACTTCACACAAAAAATAGCAAGCACTCTCAATATATATTTCAGAAGGGTAGTGGAGAGAGACAATTATCTAGGCATTCTCATTATCCGGTCCTCACCATGCATCCATTGAGTAAAAAGAAGAAGATGATTGCCTCTTGTATAGTAATTTATGCTGAAATGTTGATAATGATTATGGAGACAATAGTCATGGTCATGGATGCAATTGAAACGTTAACAATTAGAGTCCTAGAAATATTTGTTATAAGTTCGGTGATTCTACTCAACAACGATTGGATGTTAGACTTTCAAATCTCAGGACACTAATTCATAATGATGATGAAGTTTGTATGGAAAATTTAAGAATGAATCAGAAGTGTTTTTATAAATTGTGTAAGATGCTTAAAGAAGTTGGGAAGCTACAAGAAAATCGAAATATGAGTGTGGAAGAAATGGTAGCAATGTTTTCATATATAATTTCACATCACACAAAAAATAGAAGCACTCAATTATATTTCAGAAGGAGTGGAGAGACAATTTCTAGGCATTTCATTTCGGTCCTCCATGCTATACTTAGATGTCACCATCTTCTTCTAAAAAAAGCCAGAACTAGTCGGTGAAAATAATCCCGATGAGAAATGGAAGCAGTTTAAGGTAGATTTCATTTACCAATGTTAACTTACAATAATTAATTTCCAAACTCGGTATAATTCTAACAAATATACACATTTTGTAGAACTACTTGGGTGCTTTAGATGGAGCACATATTAAAGTCCGTGTGGTAGAGAAAGACAAAGTTAGATATAGGAATAAGACTAATGTGTTAGGTGTTTGTTCACAAGATTTACAATTTATCTATGTATTACCTGGATGGGAGGGATCTGCATATGATAATAAAGTACTTTGAGATGCAATTTCTAGAAAAAAATCCTTTAAAAGTTCCCCAAGATAATGCATAAGAAAATTAAATTTTTATATTAAAAGTCATGTATGATTTAAATTTTAATAATTATAAAATTCTTATTTTTCATTCATAGGGTATTATTATTTATGTGATGCTGGTTACATGAATTCAAATGGCCTCCTAACCCCTTTTAGAGGTCAAAGATACCATTTGAATGATTGGAGAACCATTAATGAGCCAAGAACAGCAGAGGAGTGCTACAAAATGAAACATTCTCGAGCAAGAAATGTCATAGAGAGGTGTTTTGTTTTATTGAAACTTAGGTGGGGCATTTTAAAAAGCACACCATGGTATCCTATAAAGACAGTTTGTAGGATCATCTCAGCATGTGCTTTATTACACAATTTTATTAGAATGATCATGCAATCATATCCAATGGAGATGGAGTTAAATCAGTATGAGAAAATGGAACAAGAACCATCAGATGTTTATGAAGGAGAGCTAATTGATAATCTAGAAAGTTCTTCAGAGTGGAATAACTTTAGGCACAACTTAGCTAGAGAGAGTTTTTAAAAATGGAGGGATAATAAGAATAACTTATAAACATATTGTGTTTTTTAAAGAGAATATTTGCTTGAATTGTTTGTTTGTCACAATAACATATCTATTATTTCAATTGTTTTTAAAATCTATTACTTGTTAGACAATTTTTAATGGAAATATTTTTATTGATGTATTGACATTCTATTATGAATGTTTGTGATAATTTATGATCAAATTATATGAGTTAAGTCATTTTATTATCCATTCATGATGATATTGTTTATGTAATATATACATGTGATAATTTCAAGGATGAATAATGTCCACAATAGTCAAAGAAGTGCAATCTCAAAAGATAAAGGTAAAATGACACAAAATGACAAAAATTCTGGGAGATCTTGTGTTAGATGGACACATGCAGTTTGGTGGATCTTGTCAATATGGGAGGATGGAAACAAGACAATGGTCAATTTAAGTCTGGCTATCAATTTTAAATAGAGAAAATGATGAAGGAAAAGATTCCTAATTGTCAAATGAAAGCTAACCCACATATTGAATCAAGGGTGAAGATTTTGAGGTCAAAGTATCATGCAATTGTTGAAATGAGAGGTTCAAGATGCAGTGGATTTGGATGGAACGAAAGAGATAAGTGCATCACTTGTGATGATGATGTTTGGGAGAATTGGGTTAAGGTAATATCATATATTCCTTTTAATTTTAAAATGCATATTTCAATGATATAAGTATATGAGAATGACTAAAAATATTTCATTTTATGCAGTGTCACTGGGATGCTGTAGGGTTGAGGAACAAACCATTTCCTTTTTACAATGAATTAGATTATGTTTATGAAAAAGACAGAGCTACTGGAGAAGGTGCAGAAAATCAAACTGATGCAATAGAAGATATTGAATTAGAGGAGCAAGAACAACAAAGCCAATATGAATCTTGTTCCCCACCAGTTTTCAATGGAGAAGCAGGTAGTGAATAAGAAGAGACAAGTTATATAAATCTACATCCATATTCTAGTTCTGCTTAGACAATAAATGTTGTGCCATCAAGCACTGGAAATAAAAGAAGAAAGAAGAGACATTGGAAGTTATTCAAGAATTTTCAAGTCAAATGGATAAATTAGGTAACTTGATGGCAGTTGCTGGAGAACATATTGGTAGACTTGCAAATTGTTTTAAGCATGAGTCTGAGGGTGTAGAAAGAAGAATGGCTGTTAATGCTGAATTAATGAAGATTGAAGGATTATCTCAACAAGATATTCTTAAGGTAGGAAGGAAGATTGCACTTGACACTATGGAAACTGATTACTTTTTTAGTCTGCTAGAGGATTATAGGAAAACTTATGTGCCTAGTTTATTAATCCCTAAAAATCTATAATTTATTAGAACTCTAAAATATTATGACCCTTAGTATTTAGATTAGGACTTCTTTATATAATGTGATGGTAAATGATATAGTAGAAGCTAAGAAATAATTGGTTATGTAAGTGAAGTTATATATACTGTGATGGTAAATGATGTAGTAGGAGATATATATTTTAGGTGCTAAAATTGAGATGTATACATGAAAAGTTGTAATATTTTGGATGTTAAATATTATGATGATAATAATAATAATAATAATAATATTGGTATGTTAAGTTGAACCGAGTTATTATATACTGTGATGTATATATATGTAGTAGGGAGATATCATATTTTAGGCAAAGAGGTACGGCTAGAGTCGCAGCGCAGTGCTAAATATGAGATGTATACATGAACAACAGTTGTAATATTTGGGGATGTTAAATTCATTATGATGATAAAATTAATAAATAATATATAATAATAATAATAATAATAAGTAATTTTATTATTTATTATTATTAATTATTATTCTATTATTATAAAAAAACATTATATGTTATTATAAGGTGAGTTGAATGATATGCAATACATATATTTAAAAATGTGCTTTCCATAGAGTTTCTCCAAAGAATTTGTCAATTAAGTATACTCAAATTCATATTAGGGTATTATTACATTTCATATTTTAAAAAATTTCAATTTACACAATTTTTATTTTTCTAGGAAGGTTCCGATCATCAACCAAACATATTTTCCACCAGTCTTACTTCTCCATGGACAGCTAACTTTCCTTGGAACTTTGTTACTCCTGGGATTAGAAGTGAACCTTCTCAAGAAGTAGGGAAATTTCGAAACTACAACAAAAATGGTCATTTTGCATATTATTATTATTATTATTATTATAAAAAACATTATATGTTGATTATAAGGTGAGTTGAATGATAGCAAACATATATAAAATGTGCTTCATAGAGTTTCTCCAAAGAATTTTTTCAATTAATATACTCAAATTCATATTAGGGGTATTATTGACATTTCATATTTAAAAATTTCAATTACACAATTTTATTTTCTAGGAAGTCGTATATCAACCAAACATATTTCCACAGTACTTCTCATGAAGTAACTTCCTTGGAACTTTACTTCCTGGGAAGTGAACTTCTCAAGAAGTAGGGAAATTTGAACTAAACAAAATGGTCATTTCATATTTTAACAGTAATTAATGATAAAACTTTATTAAGTAATTAATGATAAAACTTTATTAAACATATAAGCGTCATACAAATAAAATCTAATACTGATACTGGCTGTCAACTATTAACTATCTGCTATTGCCATAACCACCACATACTAGCTACTAGCTTTTAATAATAGTTAAGTATTAACAAGAAGAGGAATAGCAATAATAATTTAACTTTATTGTGATATTTCCTCCATTAATAATTTTCGTAATGGGAATTGGTCAAGTAACAATGCGGTGACACAATCTTCAACATTGGTCGAATAGGTATATGCATCGCGACCAACTATAAACACCAATTCAGACACGCGTACAAAGTTGAGAAAATAATTGAGAACCGTCCTTGATACTCGATCACTTGGCTTCATGTATTCCTCATTTACGTCTTTCCATATATTTTCAATCATTTTTGTAATTTCCTCAATTGCCTTCTCTCTTGAGACACCAAATTCATTCATGTAACATTCCACAGCATCTGCCTTTTTCTCTCCCTACATATATTCAAATTCAAGCATATCACACACACACTTAAAATAAAGGATTATGTCATTAAATAAATAATTTAAAGGCATGTTTAGGTTGGAAGATTTTCAAAGATCCATGAACTTAGTGTAAAATATCTTATTTAGGTTAATGAGTGGAGAATACAATTTATGAAATCATTACAAGGGTATTTAGTCTGACTTTTAAATCAGTAAAATATACTACCTCAATTCCATAATACTTATCACATTTGAGAAAATAGTTTATTGAAAAATACTTATCATATTTGTATTTTCAAGGAGTAATAAATATTATTTTCCATGTTTACCCTTTCTGTATGACCAATAATTATTAGAAAATTAGTATTAAATTAAGGGTAATATAGTCAATTTATTCAAGAATTTATTGTAATTTAGACAAATTTAATGGTTTTCTTAACAAATGTGAAATTCTAAATGTGACGAGTGTTATGAAACAGAGGTAATAATTTTAAATAAAAAGTCATAAGTAAAATAGTGGTTAATTTGGCTTATAATTTTTTTTTTAAAAAAATAATCTACTTAAAGTAAGTTAGAAGTCATAAGTCTTAAACAAATCCTTAAAAAGACTTAGAAGTGTTATTCTAACTCATTTTTAACAAATCCTTGAACTTTCAATTTAAATAAATATAACCCTTTTAGTAATTTTAACAAATTAAGTTACTTTTAAGTTCTTATCAGCTAAACACTTAATTTAGGCTTTGTCAAAATTTTAAATTGAAACTAAACTAAAGTGAATTGATTTCAGTTTAATTCAAATCAAATTGGCTGAAACTAGAAGAGGAAGAACTGAAATTAGAATTAGCAGAATCATTTTTAGTTCTATTTTCCCTAAAGGTAAAATTAGGATTAAACCTTCAATTAGAACTGGGGTTCGATTCTGGTTTAATATCGATTCTAAATTTTTTTTTAAAAAAAAATTGAAAGTTTTCTTGAAAAATAAACTAAAATTATCTAGAACTGATTGAAACCGAAACTAGGAAAATCAATTTCATTTTTCAGAATTTTTGTGATTCTAATTAGATCCTAATTAATAGAAAAAACATAAATCATTGTCATTAATTTTGTTCCATTAATCTAATTAATAGTTTCTTTTATGATTTTTCATACCTCGTGGCTTGTTATATCGTCACAAAGACGTGCAAATAACTTGGAAACCTTGACGATTCCTGGATTTTCTCGTAGCCAAACCATATCTTTAATTCCTGCATCCTTTAGTTCCAGAAAGAATGCCGATGCAAGCAAGTCACCTGTTCTTTTTTATCGGCAAAATAAATTTATTTTATTAATTTAAATCCAGAAAAAATTTAACTCATTCAGTAAACTAAATCTAAGCCATAGCTTCTAAGTAGGTCACCTGTAATTGTGATCGATCCATTGCGCAAGTACTCGTCGAATGTTGGTATGAAGCCATCACTAAGCCATTGAGACTCCAGCATGTATGATCTCGTAACCTCTTTGAACTAATAATTAACAGAGTGGAAAAAACGTAACATTGAATATCTTCTATTATGATATAAACCTTCATTTTGACTGTTAATCTTATTATTAAAAATGAAATAACAGATTTACATATAACTGAAAGAATATATAAATAAGCTTATAATCACTTTAGGTTAAGGAGAAGCCTTTGGGTTGTGATGCATGTGTTTTAGAATTTAGGTTGTGTGGTTACAGCCAACTTGTACATTGTAATTTCATCATCGTGAAATTTTTTGCTTTCTATCCTTTTCTGTGTAAATCTACTGAGCAAATCACGTAGTAAAGATTGTTTAGATTAATGGAATGTGAAATTCATGGGTTTTGTGAAATTTATGAAATTCAAATCTCACAGAATTTTGTATTTATCATTTGATTGAAAAACAAAATACACAAAATTAAAGAGTATTTTATAAATAACATTAAGTGATTTATATTTCACATTAATAAAAAAAAAACTATGAAATTAACAATGTTTTGAGAGCCGGTAAAGATAAGGATTCGCTGAATCGGAGGGTTCGATCAGGTTCAGTATGATCAATTGGATTTTGATATATAATATTTTTAAATATATTTATCAAATAAAATTGAAAATATATATAATTTACACACAAAAAAAAACATTGATTTCAAAATAAAAAACAGTTTTAAAATTGGCTTTTACAAAAAATAATAAAAAATTAGTAAAAAATTTTGAAAAAAAAAATAAAATATGAATAAATTCAATGTACTAAAAAAATTAATTAATTACTATAAAATTTATTATTATTTTTCACAGGTGTTAAGCAATTTAATTTTTTCAATTGACATATTCGGACAGAAATAAAGATGCCCAAAAAATAAAAAATCAGTGGTCTAATTTTTAAGAGGCCCGCATTTTTTGGGCCTCTTTATTTCTAAACCGAAAGCCTAATATGTCAATTAAAACAATTAAATCGCTTAACACATATGAAAAATAATGTGGAATTTTATCAAGAGACCGGTCCGGTTTTCAGAACTATTATTAATGTGGGATTTCTCTCATTTTTTCAAATGGCGAAATTAAAGCTATTATGGAATTTATCAAGTTCATATTGTAAATCCACGAAATGTTTATATTTCGCAAATAACCTCATAAATCCGGTGTCACTATTTGCTTGTGTTTGCGCTTATTTCAATTTATTTTTCCTTATTTCTGCAGTTATATTTTGTCTTTGCCCTTAACACTATGTAATAAAACATTTTATTTTATTTTCATCTTTTAATTCAAATGTTAGAAAATTCCTGCAAACCTTACCATCTCTTTGGCAAAAGAGGTTTTGTAAGAGCTTCCTTCAATATTGCCATTGTTCTCTGTTTCTTCAAAAAGCTTCAATATTGCCTTGTACAGATGTTTCAAGTATTCTGGAAGATGATCGATTGCATCAATACTGCACCTGAAAACATATTTTTAAACAATTAATATCATTTTTTTTTTTATAATTGTAATTTCCTATGTAATTCAAGCTAGCAATAAGAAATCAAATCTTTGAAATGCATACCTTTGAAATGCATCTGTAAAACGTTGGAGTTCATCAATTGTACCATATTCATCATATGCATCATCGGTTGTCATTTCCATTTGTGTATACTTAGCTATTAATACTCGACAACGACCCCATTGAGGTTCAGATAGGCATCCAAGTGTCCACACATACACCTCTACAATTCTATCTCTTGCAAAAGGAAGCTTTTCCGTAAGATTCAACTCTTCCCACCACCTGAAACATATATATATTACATTTTCAAATGTTGTGGTTGTGTGCCCACTCAAGTGGGCTTTTCGAAACTGCATCTGTACCAAACGTCTGGAGTTCATCAATTCGTACCATATATCTGATCATATGCCATCAATCGGTGCTGTCATTTTCCATTTCGTGAGTATACTTAAGCGTATTAATTACTCGGACAAACGACCCCATTGAGTTCAGATAGGCGCATCCAAGTGGTCCACACATACACCGTCTACACATTCTGATCTCTTAAGGCAAAAGGCAAGCTGTTCCGTAAGATTTCAACTTCTGTCCCCACCACCTTGACAACATTATATATATTACATTTCAAACTGTTTTGTGTTGTGTGCCCACTCAAGGTGGGACCCACAATAAATTTGAAAGGAAATAAGATGAAGTCAAAAGAATGGAACGGCAACGGAGTTGTACACGGCATCCTTACGTTGTAGTCCAAAAAATGGAAGGCAATGGAGTTTGTACACGACAGGGCAGTTGCTAACATGGCATTTCTCCTACGCATAACATTAACCTGCCTATAAATAGAGCAAGAGGCAGAACACACAACACACAGAAGAAAGAAGAGAGAAAATGTAGCGAGAGACGGTTCTAATTTTAGGATGGGTTTTCCTAAACGTTTAGAGGGGAGTGAGAAAAATTAGTGAGGTAAATTTATTTATTGGAAGAGTGTTTTTGAGAAACACTCTTGAAGTGCTACACTACCTAATTTTTGTATTACTTCGTTTGTTTGTACCTACTTATTAATAGTGGAAGAATGATTCGGATTATTCCCCGTGGCGACGTTAGCCACTAAACAGTTTTAAGGTGAACCACGTAAATATCTTGTGTGTCAAAGTTTATTATTCCGCTGCCTGTTTAATTTTCTCCTTAATCGTTGACAAGGGCCCGGATCCCAACGCAGTGGTATCAGAGCTGATTGCCCAAATAACTGTATCAGAGCTGATTTCCTACACACAGTGGTATCAGAGCCCCGAAGGTTCCGTACGGTCCAGCCGGTCAGATATGGTATCCACACATTTGAGGTTCAGTATACAGGCATCCAAGTGTCCACCACATTACACTCTACAATTCTATTCTCTTGCAAAAGAAGCTTTTCCGTAAGATTCAACTCCTTCCCCCACCTCTGAAACATATATTATCAATTAACAATTTTTCAATAATGTTTGTTCGCGGTTGTGTGCCCCACTCAAGGTTGGGACACCACAACTTAGTTTATTTTCGAAAAAGGAAAATAAAGGAAGTCAAAAATGGAAGCAGGCTTAACGGAGTTGTACACAGGGCGTCCCATCCCCTACGTGTAGTCAAAAAATGGAAGGCAAATGGAGTGTACACAACGGCAGGAGTTGTACATGGCATTTCTACGCCGTTCAAGCCTGCCTTATAAATAGAGGCAGAAGGCAAAAACCACACAACACACAGAAGCACAAGAAGAGAGAAAATGTATGTCGAGAGAGGTTTTCTAGATTTTTTAGGATGGTGGTTTCCTAAAACTATAGGGGATATCCGAGAGAAAATAGTGGAAGGAACATTATATGGAGGTGTTCTTTGAGAAACACTTGACGTGTCTAACTATTTTATGTGTCCATTACTCTCGTTTGTCGTATCCTACTATTTTTAATAGTGGCAAACGGACATCGATTCGGATTTTGGTGCCCGTGGGACGCTTCAGCCGAAGCTAAACAGTTTGGAGGCTGTGACACCACAGTGGCTGGAGTGCCTATCACTCGTCGCGTAAATATCTGGTGTCACGAAGTTGTATTATTCCCGCATCTGCGCTCTGTGTTCACATTTTCTTTCTCATAATCCGTAGTTGAAAAGGGACTTCTGACTCTGCTTCTGTACGACGCCACGCCCGGCCCGTGCCCCTCCCAACGATGGTATCAGAAGCTGCCTATGTCTCCCCAACAATACTGGGCCTTTATCAGATGCATGACTTGTCCTAACTAGAGTCGCCACGGCTACTCAGACGGCAACCCCGAATATCGGTCTCTATGTTCCTCCACGGGCAGTTGATGGCTGCGTTCGAGTTAGGTCCCCAGCTGGCCCCCAGTACGAGAGTCAAGATTAGTCTCGTGGTATCCGGCGCGTGCTGCGCCCTGCATCGATATCCGTGGCACTTATATTTTGCCTAGGTGAAAAATAAACGTGACTAGGATAGTGTTCCTACGTATCCTACTAGAGAGAAATACGCACGGCCATCCGCTGCTGCTCATCCATTGGTCTGATGTACTGTTACTATTCATGGTCACTATTTACGTATACTACTGTTCACGTATACGGTTTATGTTGGTGATGATTTTCTGCGCAAGTCAAAATGGACAAGAGACATAACACAGTTACCAGCGACTCAGAGCAAAGTGGGCAAGTGTTTACAGAGGTGGACGATAGACATAACGTGGTGGCCAGCGACTTAGAGTAGAGTGGGCCAATGTTTACAGAGGTGAACGATATCTCAGAAAGTCCAATGGCCAGCGACTCAGAGCAGAGTGGGCCAGTGTTTGCTGAGGTGGACAATATCTCAGAAAGTCCAATGGCCAGCGACAAAGAGCAGAGTGGGCCTGTGTTTGCAGAGGTGGACAAGAGACATAACACAGTTGCCAGTGACTCAAAGCAGAGTGGGCAAGTGTTTGCAAAGGTGGATGACAGACATAACACAGTGGCTAGTGACTCAGAGTAGAGTGGGCCAGTGTTTGCAGAGGTGGACGATATCTCAAAAGTCCAGTGGCCAGCGACTCAGAGCAGAGTGGTTTTTGCTCATTATGGTTGATTGCTTGGTCAGAAATCTAGTAAGTCGTTTGCTGTGACGAGACTTGGGCTACCAACAAAAGCAATATTCTTGGCAAATGAAGCAATACAAGAAAATCGCCAAGGCACAATCCAAGACCAGATCTACATGGTTGTCACAGACGGAAGTACAGTTTTGAGAAAGTTACCTACTTCCAAAGGCTTGGTAGAACATGGAGAACGCCTACAGACAAAAACCGCGGCGTTAGTTGCCTCCTTTTACTCAATATCACCTTTAAATTAGAGCGTTCTAACCCAGTGCCCTTCTCACCGCGATTGCACGCTGCTGGACGCGTGGAGACGAGGACAAGTAATGGAATAATGATTTTAATATCGCAGATTCCGTAGCGCAGTTGGCAAGCTTGAGTGTATTCGCCCATGGTTTGTACTTTGCTAACGGCCAGTATATTGCCCTCACTCAGACCTCGCGCCCAGCCACACATGCCGTTAGCGCCAGTAGTGAGTAGTCGGAGTAGTGAGTCGGTTTCTTTCAAATCTTGGAAAGGAACATTGGACTGCAGTGAAATGGATCTTCGAGGTACAACCAAAGTATGTTTATACTTTGGAGATGAGAAGCGAGTATTAGTCGGTTATACCGATGCAGATATGGCTGGGGATGTTGACTCGAGAAAGTCTACATCAGGATATCTAATCACATTTGCAGGGGGAGCCGTATCGTGGCAGTCAAAATTACTGAAGCGTGCAAAGAGTTGCAATGTAACAATAGAACCAAGACAAAAAAAAAAGATCTGCAGGTGGTGTCTTGTGTCGAAAGTCTTCCCGACAAAAGGAGGTCCGGCGGCGTGTCCCGCAAAGTTGTAGCGGCGTATTAACAACAGAACCATAGACCGAAAAAAGATCTGTACGGTCGGTGTCTTGTGCTACGAAAGTCTTCCCAACAAAAAGTCGAATGGCCTCGGCGGCGTGTCCCGCAAAGTCTTGCTAGCGGGGCGGTACAAGATGCGTGGGCAGATCTAATAGTTATAGCTGCGAGGCGATGATGATGGCTATCGTCCTCACTTGTAGTGTGCAAATCTGGGGGCAGATTTGTTTGTGGTTGTGTGCCCACTCAAGTGGGACCCACAAATAAATTTGAAAAGGAAAAATAAACGGAAGTCAAAAAATGGAAGGCAACGCGAGGTTTGTACACGGCATCGTGATTAACGCGTCCACCTCTCCTATAAATGGGAGTTAATTCACTTCATCAAAGCACACAAGCAGAGCAAAAGAAAAGAAAGAGATTTAGAGAGTTTCAATTTTAGAAAGGGTTCTACGCGTCCACCTCTCCTATAAATGGGAGTTAATTCACTTCATCAAAGCACACAAGCAGAGCAAAAGAAAAGAAAGAGATTTAGAGAGTTTAAATTTTAGAAAGGGTTCTAAAACTGGGTAGAGAAAATAGTGAGGATAATTTCGGGTGTTTTTGGGAAACACTTTGGAGTGTCATTATTTTTGTATTACTCTCTATTTGTAAGCCTACTATTTTTAATAGTGGAAGAATGATTCGGAGTTTGTCCCGTGGACGTAGCCCTAAACAGTTGAGGGTGAATCACGTAAAACGTAAATATCTGTGTGTCACAAGTTTTATTATTCCGCTGCGTTAATTCCGCTGCGTTAATTTTCTCTTAATCGGTTGAAAGGGCCCAACGAGTGGTATCAGAGCTGATGCCCAACAACTGGTATCAGAGCTGATTCCTAACATCAAATTAGTTTATTCTTTTTTCGTGACAAACAAAAATCATTGTATTAATAGCATCAGTTGGGTTAGGTGGATTGGAAACGGAGTACTTTGGCTTAGGGTCACTTTGAGTCATGTTTTTTATAAGGACATTTAGGTTGTGTTCGGTAAAAATTTTTAAATAGCTTTTAAGTTGTGTTCGGCGACAACTTTTTAAATAATTTTCCGAACACTATTTTTCATAGATAGTGTTTTATAAAAAGTTAGATGATATAATATTTAGCTTTTAGCATTTTATAAATAGCTACTCAAACAGCTAACAGCTACCAAAATAGCTATTTTACCGAACAGACTTTTAGTTTGAGTCACTTCAGTTGCAGGTGAGTCGGATCATCCATCAAGTGAACTCAAAGAAATTTAAAATCAAGTTTAAATCAAATTTTAAAATAATAGGAAAGGAAGTATATGGAAGTATATATATAATATAATAATATACTATATAATATATTATATTATATATATATATTAATAACATTCCAAGGGATATATTAATAACATTCAAGGAGTTCTCTGCATGAAAGTAATCCATAAGAGAAGTACCTCAATAGTGATGCTAGCTCTTGTCTATATAACAGTTGCACTCGATTATAATCCAACTTTGCATACTCGAGTAGAGTTTCATTTCGAGATTCGTCTTCTTGATAAAGTGATATATATTTCATAGTCTCTAGTCTCTGCATACCATGGTGGATTGGTCCTTGTAAAGCATTCCTTATCTGTTTTGCAAGATGAGGGCTTGATTGCGCAGCTAAGATTTCCAAGTGTTGCTTCGTAAATTTAAGAGCTTCATCTAAAATATCTTCTCCATGTACACTTAGAAAGCTGGCATCATATAAGCTAAGTAGGCCCTTCGCATCATTGGTGATGGTTCTTTTGAACTCTCCATTGTTGTCTTTGAATTTGTTAAACACATCTAATTCATGATAATTCTTATTGAAAAATAAAGTTATTAGTTTCAAAGGTAAGTTATTTTTCCGAAATAAACAGAAATTTTAAAATTAAATTATATTTTTGCAGTGAAAATGCTTTAGAATTAAATCTAAACTCATATAGATACTTACCGCAAGGCACTTTATATCCATATTGTCTTAGAACTCGAAAGATAAGTGCTGCAGTGTGGAGATCATAATCATTTCCAATGAAGAAATTAGGAAGTGAAGTGAAAATATGATTTAATTGCTCTTCAATGTCATTCTCGAAGTGATAAGACAGACCAAGCCGGCATAATAAGTTGATAAATTCAACGTTTTGAGTTAACTCTTGTGTAGATTGCATTAACATATCCTTTACCCTTTCTTTAAGAACGTCCGCCTCTTTAGCATATGATTCCAGTTCCTGTGCAAACATATTTATTAGATCCCAAGTCTGACAAGAAGATTATAAAAGAAAGGTTTGTTCTAGTTGGTAAGAAAGAAGATTTTTTTTTATTTATTTTTTAATAAGGAATTAATTTTTGCTGTCAATTGAATTAGTGAAAATGAAGACTATATTTTTCAGACGAACTTTACCTGTAAAGTTAAAGGCATGAAACTTAGAGCCACAACTATTAGAAGATTTACATGATTACCCCGTTGACTCCAATGTGGATAGTCCCATATAGGGGTGAGCAATGGGCAGATCGGGTCAAAACCCGACCCAACACCCGAAATAAGGGGGTATGGTTGGATTGAACCGACCCCTTTTAAAGTTGGGCCCCATCTAAATTCCTCCTATAAAATCGGGTCAAGTTATTCAAGGCTCATTTAATTCGATTTTTAATTAAAGATTTTTTTTATAGGTTGGATACTTTTTTATATGGCTCTTGAACAAAATTTTCTATTTGGATTCTACACAATTAAAAAAATTGTCTAGAAAAATAATTGTTGCTCAAACAACCATAATCAAAAAATCATAAAACAATAATCAAACCATAATCAATATCAAACATTCATAATGAAAAAATCATAACACAATCAAACCATAATCAAACTATAATTTTTCATCTTCAAATCATAACCAAATCATAGCAAATTAAAAAGTCCTAATTAAGTATTTAACATCCATAATAGAAATAAAAAAACAAGAAAACTTAAACTGATTAATTATAATTTTAATTGCTCAAGAAAAAATATATACCATCTTCAAGAAAAAAAACTGATTTTGATTTGAAATTTTTAATTTTATAAGCAAAAGAAGAAAGAAAGGAGAGTGAGTCACACGAGGAAATTAAAAAAAAAAATTGAATTCTTCATTTTTACGGGTCGAATCGAGTTAAACAATTTACTTGACCGACTCACCGAACATAATGGATATATTATATATATCTCTTAGATTCTCTGACTGACTTGACCCAAAAAAGCCTTTATAGCCATATATTTTCGATCAGGTCAGTTCGAATTTTTCGGGTTGGATCGGGTTTTGCACACCCTTGTCCCGGACAATCTGGTGCAAACAGAAAAAGAAAAAAAAAATTATGAGGGAGAGATAGACGTACCAAATCTTTTGCACATAGATCTGCAAAAGCGAAACCCGAAATGGAAGGAGGATACTTTGTCAATGGACGAATGATTTCTTGCTCAGCTTTTGCTGCTCGTAGAGGGATATATTTGAGATGTTTATTAATATTATAAGCTTCGAAAGATCCATAGAGAGTTGCTGATGTCTATTATTCCTGGTCATGAAGGGAGTTCGTAAATTATTCTGTCGATTTCTTGAAGTTTCTTTGAAGTAAACTGCATCTGCAAAGGCAAGAGCTTGGTTGGCCATTTTGAAACGGGGCAAAGCAAGTCAGGTAGCTAGCACAATCCAAGAAGATGCAGAACCTATTTATGCCTGCTCTAAGCTGGTTAAACTAATATTATTATTAATCTAAGGAACGGACAATTTTTTACTTTTATTGTTTTTATAATATATAGTGACAATTAGAAATTATAATCGGCCGAATAAATTAATTCACTCCCGAACTTTGTTACTTTAACCTCGTGGCAGCCTTAACCCATTAAACACTTAAATTTATAAAATTACACCTATTAAATACTTCAATTTTCAAATTTATTTTATTGAACAATTGAACTTGCAAAACTAAATCAATTAAACACCTATTAAAAAGTTAAAAATTATAAAAAATATTATTCCAAAAGTCATGCTAATGACATATCAATTCGTATTTTGCAGCTAAACTTCAAAATCCCTAAAAATTTTGATATTAGTGTTGAAAAGTGTGTAATATTATCAAAATTTACAAATTCAAGTGCATGATAAGTCATCCGTAAAGTTCAGACTATCATAAGGTTAAAGTTGCAAAGTTCAGTATTCGGCCAATTATAATCACAAATTATAATCACAGATATCAAGGACCTATGTCGTTTTATCAATAAAATAGTTGAGAATTAATTTTAAAAATTTCTTGAAATTTTTTCATAATATACACCTATGTCGTTTTATCAATAAAATAGTTGAGAATTAATTTTAAAAATTTCTTGAAATTTTTTCATAATATACATGTTGGTCACTTGCTTTCTAAGTATAAATTTCTTGAAATTTTTTCATAATATACATGTTGGCCACTTGCTTTCTAAGTATAATTTTTTTTTAATATATATTTCAGTATAAAATTATAGTGGTTGACTCGTAATTTGTATCGTGTCAAAGATTCCTTTTGTTCATACAAGCCACTTGCTACAGCTAATTTAACTAAACAACTCAAGTTGTCCTCAACTATAGGTTAAGTTTACTGATGGCACCTCAACTTAGAAGATATGCACTTCACCGGGCGTAAACTTCAAAATGTAACTTAAAAATGTTTCAATTTATATTTGTGTAACGATCTATCTATATATATATATAAATAAATATATATATATATATAATCTGAAAAAAATAATTTCAAATCTGAGTGAACGCTCTTTCTTTTTCTATTTTTTTTTTAATCTAGAAAAAAAATAATTTACAAATCTGACGTGACGCTCTTCTCTTTTACTATTTTTTTTTTTTACTTTTTTCACAAATTTTCTAATTTTTAATCATTTACTTTTCCTTTTTCCATAAATTAATATTTAATAATTAATAATGATAATAATAACTTTTGAAATCTAAACTAATTTTATAATTTTTTCAATTTTTAAAACGTTCAAATTTTAACTATTTATTATCTTTATCTCCTAATATAGTGTGTTATCATCAACAACATAAAGTTTTAAAAAGTTTCAAATACTTTTATATATAGAGTTCAATATGCTTTGATTTCATAGTAAAGATTTTTGAAGGCAACTAAATGTAAGAGTGTTAGTAATAGCAAAATCATATTTTAAAGAGAAGTAGTAGTTCATCACCTACCAAGTTTCTTTTTGTGCTTCTAAATTTTAGATTTTCATTATCACAGTTTGATGTTCAGTTTTTTCTGTGCTTGAATGAGTAATTATTGATATAAAATACAATTAATTGTTGTTTTTTTAATTTGGGATCTACTTAAATTAAACTTAATGGATTTCTTCATTCGTCATAAATATTGTGACGTTGTCTGCTATAATTACTATGGTTTAATTTATGGTTACATATGGCTTTTAATGAAAGATTTTCTCATACTTATAAATATTTTTTTCATTGGTTTACAATTCAAATCAATGTTAATTACTTTTTCTCTTTGTAATCCTAAGTCCATCGAAATAAGTAATTCATTGCTTGGCTATTATATTATGATTATAGAGTTTCCTTCTTTTTCTCTCCCTAAATATATAGCCAATTAATTTTTTACCTATGTATAATTGATTATTAATTTTTTAGGATAGGCATGAGTTCATAATAATTTCGGAATTGTATTTATAAATGTAATATATTCTTTATTTATAATAATTAGTTTTAGCATATGTTTTTTTATCTAATGTTCTAATGGTTGATTATGTAAATTTATATAATTATATAATATATAATCCAATTCTATATATTATTGTTCAAAATCAAGTGTAATAGCTTGATAAAATATTAAAAGTTTTTACACTTTTAATCTTTTATTTAAAGTTTTATATATCTTTCATTTTTTTAATAAGTATATAAAAAAATATATCATAAGAAAATAAAGTGACGGCTCAATGCGTCCGGACTTTTTAATTTTTTGTAAGATATTACAAGTAAAGATATTTATTTGAATAGAGAAAAAAGGAAAGCATGCTTCTAATACTATACTACTAGTAGAAAGTCCTTACCCATTATGCCTTACTATTCGAGTCACCAACTTACACTTGATTTTCTTTATTTTCTTTATTATTTATACACTCACCTATTTGTTTTTATTTTTTTTATATTTATAAAATTAAAATAGGATAACCTTCAAAATAACAGAAAAAACAAACTAAAAAAATCATGTCAAAGAAAAAAGAACCAGAAAATGAAAAAGGTCCAAAAATGGAAACTCAATCAATGCAAATATTATTTTCAATTTAAACAATCTGAAATAAAACAAGATCAAAGTCCTTTTTTTTTTTTTTTGGGTAAGAAAAGAGAGCACAAGCTCTAGAGTTACAAACAGTATCTAGGATGAATTACACCAACGTTATCATGGAGAAGCCATGAAACAGCTTCTTGAGGAGGATCCATAAGAATTTGGGTACCCATGGAGAAACCAGCAGCAGTCTTTTGTATCACAATCCATCAACAAATCTGGTGATGGTTTTAGGTGTGAATGCATTTTAGTTGTTTCAAGTAATAGTAACAAATCAGACTTCCCACCACAACTGCATGCTTATAAATAATTAAATAATTATATTTATTATATAAATATTAAAATAAAAAATAATCTATTCATCTTAAAAGTAAAATACTTTTATTTATTTATATAATATTGATGATAATCTCAAAAATGTGATAGCGTCGAGGAAGTAGGAGTACTCTGATTGTAGTTGATAGTTTTAAGTAACATTAACCTTTTTCAGGTTGCTGTTATATATAATTTATTGGTGTCAAGTTGGTTATCCAAACAATGGGGGAGTGATAATTGGACATTATCTCTTAGAATAAGCCCACATCGTATTTCTATTATTCACGATCCAAGAAATCCGGAGATCTCGATGAAGGAGGCGTCTATCAATTTACATTTAGTAATGATTTCCGACAAATAAAATGACGATGCAGTAATAAATAATATCTATTTTATAAAAGATCTAATTTAAATATAAACAAAATTGCATGTTTAAAAAATGTAAAATAAAATCTAAATTAATATTTTATGCTTATAAATAAAATTTATTATTTTAATTTATAGGTTGTGATTCAGTTGTCAATACAAGTTAAACATGTAGAAGAGCTCTCGGGTTTGATCCCCACTAAATCCACTTGTAGGGAGGGGCAAAAAATATTAACTGTGACTAAGACCCAAGCGGAATGAGACGATTCTTGGTAATAAGTTCGGATACCAGTGGTTTACACAAAAAAAAAAAATTTATTATTTTATTTTTCTTTTTATGAATTTAAATTCCTAACCAATATTAATAGGGTATTATAAAACGATGAGTTTTTAATTAACTTGATCATAAGAGAGACTATAGCTCCAATGAAAATAATATTTTATACATTAAATTAGATACAATTTGAAATTAAGAGTGTTATTATAGCTAAGAAATTTATGATATTAGTAGAAGAAATTTAGATTTAGAGTATAATTAAAACTTTTCACAAAGTTCGATATCTTTTTAATGATTTAACCCAAGCCGGCCGATTGATATATTTTTATAGGATGACTCTGTTTGTCGTATGATTTATTTTGTGCTAAGAATGTTTTTTACGCGTGGAAGAAAATTTCTGCATGTGTTAAACTGTGTTAGTACAAACACAATCTAACAAAGGAAACCCAGAAGCAGTTAGAAATATAAAAGGTTATCTTTGCCTTGTACGTATATATATTGTATTATATATACTCATTTTGTGTTGAAAGTCAACTATACTGGTTATATACTTATTTTTTATCCATATAATATTAAAGCATAAATTTTGTTTAGATTAAAATAAATACAATTGGTTAATTTGTATTATACTTTACCATACAAACTACTTGCAATACTACTTATTATGCTACTTGCAATACTACTTATTATGTACTTAATTCTATTTTTATATAATAAAGTGATATTAGAATAAAGTTCAACCCAATATTTATACCTAATTCTTTAAGCCATAATTTATAAAATGCAGATTTTCAAAATCCTAATAGGTGCTCAAAAAGAAAATCAAGTCATGGCTCAATCTCCAACCCATTGCCCTTAACACTAAATTAATATCTATATACAACTATAACGAATAATTATAATAATAAATTATTTTTACTGCTAGGTAAAAGAAAAGAAATGAGAAGATGGTAAATGAGAAGATGGGTATGAATTAATAATGAAAATTACTTTTACCACAGTTACAGTATTACTTAACTCATGTATCAGAGAAGAAATATATATGCACATACATACAAATTCTTGAAACCCCAAAAAGTGATCCAAATAAAAATATATAGTTCTAGTTTTTTTTTCCAGTTTCTTAAACACTGTTTTCTTTTAAGTCAAACAAAATTAAGATATAAGAGAAAAAATATTAAGAAAATTAAAAATATTTCATTATCAATAGATCATCTATTTATTGTAAGGGAGAGATAAATCAAAATGATAACAGCTACAAATTATT